CCGCTCTCTGGGATCTTACTCCTGCCTGCCCAGGTGAGCTGCTTGAAGGCAGGGTGGGACTCCAGAGACCACAGATCTTTCTCCCGTGTCTCCTGCCCCCAACCAGTCTGGGGGATGGGAAGGCTGCAAAGAGTTGGGGGTCTTGCCACTTCGGGTGAAATCCTTCTTCCATCTTGTTTCTAGTCAAAGTATTCAGACTGTGCAAGAGGATCCTTTTCCTTCGATGAGCTATTCTGCAAATCCTGAAGTTTCCCTACGTGTGTAAGCTTTTGATACACAAAAGCCAGAGACACCTGAAGGTGGATTCCATTTTCTAATCTGGAGAGCTGGTTCAAGATGAAATAAGCTCCATGAATGTGAGAGTGGAAAAGGGAAAATCCAGGGAGGAAAAAAGAGATAATTTTTCAAATATTATGCAAGCCATACACATGTGTAAAAGCAGAGCAAAAAGCCTGAACATTTCCACCAAATAGTTAACCAACCAGTACCTACCAGTAGTGTAAGCTTTAAGACAGGGGAAGGGGTGGAAGAGGAGCTTTACCTTTTTATTCTATGTATTTCTGAACTGCTTGGATTTTTTAATGATGAAGCTATATTCAGTATTGCTTATATAACCTATTATTTTAAATAGATAAATACCCATACATTTTTTGCCTCCAGGCTGGAGACGGAAGGTGATGAAGGTCACACTTGTCTGGCCCGCTGGTGGGCAGAACCTTGGGAAGCTATCTTCATGAGCGGTTGGGAGGCCTGTTGGGAAATAACTCTTTCTAAAGGAAGAAGGAAATAGGTACAATGAGCTGACCCAGAGACAAAAACTTTGCTCTGTGGAAAGGAGGAGGTAATTCTGAGCCAAGGTGGTAACTGTGATTTAGACATACCTGTGGAGCCAAAGCCAATGGCTCTATAAGGCAGTGGGGGCACCAGAAGCCCCATAGCCCTGCTCTGATAGTGGAGCTGGCTGACCTCATGCCAAAATGTCAGTGACTCCTAGCAGGGGCGGGGTGCCTGATGGGTGTGGTAATGTCCAGCAGAACTGATAGCTCCATGGGGTGTGTCAGGGGCAAAGGTTGCAGAGCTGGAGGAGGGGAAAAGATACCTAGGGGTGGGGGTAGGAGGTAGGGGGTTAAACTGCCTAACCTTATCCACCAGCACATGGGAGACACACACCCCGGGGATGCCCAGAATGCTCATGGGGTGAGCGAGTGGGAACTAGGCAGGACCTGGGATCCTGCACTGGCAGGTAGGAGCAAGAGTCAGAGACATACTTGGATGGGCTCTAATGATGTGATAAAGGCACACAAGTCCAGCTGTGTGCACAGGTGGGCAGCACAGGAGACGGAGCCACAAAGCCTATGTGCGAGAGGTCAGAGAAGGTCTCCTGAGTCAGCTGACACTGGTAACTCAGAAAGGATGGGAAGGGTGGAAGACATGAGGAAGTGTGTATGCAAAGGCCAGGAACTGTGAGAGAGTGAGCCGGGATTTGGGGGAACTGAAAGCAACTTGGGCTGAATACAGGGGAAGAGCAGATGAAGCCACAAAGGTTGTGTTTCATGGTAGGGAATTTGGACTTTATACTACAGGCAGTGGTGAAGCTCAAAAGGGCGTTTTAAACAGGGAAATGAGATGATCAAATTACCAGGAAAGCTTTCTCACCACCACACTCCCGCCACTTCTAGCTAACTCCCACCCAGTTGTGCAGTCTGAGTGTTGCTTCCTTAGGAAGTGTTCCCTGGCCACCCCTTGGACTTAGCTAACCCTCAGTTAAGGCTTCTAGGGGTTCCCAAGCACCGCCCCGTTTCTCTCTATCACACTGTGTCATGATTCCCTGTGTCCTGTATTTTTTTTCTCTCATACACTGTGAGTGCTGGAGGCCAGGGACTGTTGTCTGTTGTGTTCTGTGTTGTATCCCCAGCACCCCGCACAGTGCCTGGCATAGTAAGAACACAATATGTATTTATTTAATGAAAAAAACCCCCAAAACCTGTGAGAAGGTATCTTGAGATTTCCAGCCTGAGCTGTAAAGTATAGGTTGGAAAGGGAGGACAGGGGATCAGGGAGAGGGTTCTTGCAATAGTTTGAGTGAGAAATGATGAGGGCCCGGTCCTAGGCAGTGGTGGCGGAACTGGAGAGCAGGGAGTGCTTGGGAAAATATTTAGGGCGCAGAACTGATAGGTCTGGGAGATTAGATGATGGAAGTAAGGGGGCCAGATAAGGGGAGTTCCTGGGCTTCTGGCTTAACTAGTTAGGTGGATGAACGATGAACCAGGACTGGCTATGTGTGGAGGAAGATGACACAATCAGTTTAGACATGTTGACTGTGACATGCCTATAGGGCATACAGGTGGAGAGGTACCAGGGGCAGCTTAAATCACAGAACCGGAGCCCAGGACAGATATCTGGACTAAATAAAGATAAGAGATTTGGAAGCTTTCAGCCTGCGGGTGATGGTTAAAGACCAGGGAGGGGATAAGATCACCCAAGGAGCGAAGGAGCAGGTGAAACAAGGAGGACACCCACCTATAGGAAGTGGGCTGAGGAGGAACTTTGGAGAGAAAAGGAGACATGAGAGAGGAAGAGAGAAAAGAGAGCAGTAGCACAGTTGCTGGGGGAGAAGGGGCTTCAAGAACTAGCGAACAGGGTCCAACAATGTGGAGAAACTGAAAACCCACCCAGGCCCCTCCTTACAGTTGAGAAAACTGAGGCACAGGTAGGCTGACTGAGGTGTTCGAGCCCACAAGCTATCATTGCCCATGATCACATAGATCAATTATGATCTCTGGACTCCTGGGGGGTCCCGAAGACCCTTCCAGGGTGGTCAGAGAAGTAAAGACTATTTTTATAATAATACCAAGACTTTCTATAGTATTCACTTTGTTAACATTTGCACTAGTACAAAAGCAACAGTAGATAAAACTGCTGGGGCCTTAACACAAATCTACGAAGTCATATTCTTCACCCGCAAGCACTTATATTTTAACAAAAAGGCCAACTTCACATAAGAATGTCTATAATGGAGCAATAATCATTAATTTTATTAAAACATGACCCTTGAGTGCGTATCTTGTTATTAGCCTTGCACAAAGCACTTCTGCTGCATACTGAAGTACTGGATACATTTACGTTATTGTTTGCATTGAGAGCTACTCCACCTGCTTTTTGTTGTGGAACACCATTTTTATTAGAAAGAACAACTGACCAACTATGATAATTCAGACCTGGGCATTTAGCAGACATGTTCTTGAAAATGAATGAAGTGAACTCGTCAAACCAAGAAAAACTGATAGTATTTTTTTACCAACCATAAAATTTGAGCTGTCAAGTGAAAATCAGGATGAGCCTGACAGCTTCCCAATACCTAGACTTGGTGATGAAATCAGTGATAATATTAACAAATGTGGTATTATGAACTGAACTGTGTCTACATTTGGAAGATCTGCATAAATCACTGAGCCATTATTTTCCAATGACCAATGCATGATGTTACAAAATCAGTCATGAATAAAAGGCCTATTCAAAGTGCAAGACGAACCAATGGATTTTTTTTTTTTTTTTTTTTTTTTTTTGCTGTACGCGGGCCTCTCACTGTTGTGGCCTCTCCTGTTGTGGAGCACAGGCTCTGGACGCGCAGGCTCAGCGGCCATGGCTCACGGGCCCAGCCGCTCTGCGGCATGTGGGATCTTCCCAGACCAGGGCATGAACCCGTGTCCCCTGCATCAGCAGGCGGACTCTCAACCACTGCGCCACCAGGGAAGCCCAAAACCAATGGAATTTAACACAGCTGACTATGAGAAATTCATTGATATGGTTTCAGATCTCACATTGCAACTAACCTTTCAGAAACTGCCATCTGTCCAGTTTTGGTGACATATCAAAGAAGATATCCACAATTATCTGAAAAGGCTATTAAAGTACTCCTACTGAGCTGGCAAGCCACAACTAAAGGAGCCCTGGAGCCGGAACTAAGGAGCCCTGGAGCTGCAACTAAGGAGCCCACGTGCTGCAACTAAGGAGTTGGCGAGCCACAACTAAGGAGCCCGCCTGTCGCAACTAAGACCTGGTGCAACCAAATAAATAATAAAATAAAATAAATTTAAAATAAAATAAAATAAAATACTCCTACTTTTTCCAACTACAAATCTGTATGAAGCCGAATTTTATTTATCTACTCCAACCGAAGCAAGATATCACAACAGACTGAATACAGAAGCAGGTATGAAGAATTTCCCTGGTGGCACAGTGGTTAAGAATCCACCTGCCAATGCAGGGGATACGGGTTCGAGCGCTGGCCTGGGATGATTCCACATGCCGCCGAGCAACTAAGCCCGTGCGTCACAACTACTGAGCTCACGTGCCGCAACTACTGAAGCCCATGCGCCTACAGCCCGTGCTCCGCAACGAGAGAAGCCACCGCAATGAGAAGCCTGCACACCGCAATGAAGAGTAGCTCCCGTACCCTGCAACTAGAGAAAGCTCGCGCACAGCAATGAAGACCCAACGCAGCCAAATAAATAAAATAAAATAAGTTGTAAAAAAAAAAAAAATATCCTCCCTGCTCCAGACACACCTGGCACCTAAAATTTCACCATTAGAGGTCCTTAAAGTAACTCAATAGGTCTCTAGGAAAACAAAAAGACCTCTTGATTCAGGGTAGGGGTGGGGGATTAGTGAGAAGTCACAAAAGAACCAGTGGTAGGCCTTGAATTCCTAGATTAAAGGCTTAGAGGTAGCAATCCAGTGGGAAGAGGAGTGGGGGTGGGGAAGTGGGAGGGTTGAGAGTATCTAAAGCCATTTTTCATAGTGAATACAGGGTTTTTAATTACACTGAATATTTATTTAGGGCGGCTTTGGCAAGGGATTGATAGAGATCTGGGATGCTAAAGACTCCCCCGTAAACCACCCCTTGACGGTAACACTGCAACAAGAGAAACAATCAGAGCGCTAAGACCTTAGAAACCAAGACACAAGAGTCCTGGACTTGGGGGGTTGGGGAAGAATACCAAATTCAATTCCTTCCCCTCTTAGTCACTCCGCTTGTCAGGGGCAGGCAAACACCCCAAGGCTGAGCTGAGGAATATCCAAGAGGGTCTTGAGTCCTCAGAATTCTCGGCAGGGTCCCCTCCCTTGTGGAGGCCTTGGATGGAAGTGCAGGAGCTGGGGCCAAGAAAGGCAGGAAAAGGGCAGAATAAATTGTGGGCTGATTGTCCAGTCACATGATGAGATCTCACTGCTTCTTGTCACGTCATTTCTTTTTCCCTCCTCCTCTGGTCTCTCCCTCTCCTCCTTTCCCCTCCCTTTGCTCTTGATTTGGTTAAAATAGATGCAAACTCTGGTCTTTTCTATTTTTAATACCTAGCCATTACATAATCTACGCTGTAATTGCTGACTTGAAAAACTACTGGCAACAGTAGAAAATCCCCAGAGTTTTAAACAGGAAAAGGATTATTACAGCACAAAAGCCTTTGGCAGTTTTACTGACTGGTAAACCATCTGTAGTCGTCACTTGCCAGTGGAAGTCACGTGGGCCTTGGGAAACACTCTCCCCATCTCAGGGAAAGCAGGCTGGGGGAAGGGATGAACCACAGCTTCATCTGGGAGGAGGATGCTTTGTGTGGCCAGTCAGGGGGTGGGATGGTGTACTGGAGCTCCTGCTGGGCCCAGCCCAGAGCAGGAGGGAGGAAGGAGTGAGCTTCAGGATATCCGCCCCCTCTCTTCCCAGGGGCCACTTTTTACTGCGTCTGTTTCTTGCTAGAGAGTCAAGTCTCCAGCATCCCCAACCTCTCCCTCATCGACTTCCTGGGCTTTCCTACAGCCTCCAACACATTTCTGGGCAAGCCTGAGTGAGGGTGGACTATCTCAGTTAAATAGATCATTTTATAAAGACAAAGGAGCAAGGAAGACTGCTTGTTAATCACACAGATCTGACCCACTCCTCTGCAAGGCTTTCCACATATTAAGTCAACAACCACACTATTTAATTCCTCAATAAAATGACCTTATAACAATATAGCACTAGAGGTTTGATTTAACTAACTCATTAAGACAAAAATTCTCTGTATATGTGTTGGGGGTGTGGGTAGTATAGGAGATACAAAGGGGACAGGGACAGCTTTCCCTGATTTGGCCAATTCTGCCACAATCTTAACCCCAATAATCAAGGAGGGTCAGTCCAATCTGGGTAACTATATGTGACAATTCATTCAATAAACGTTTGCTGAATGCCACACGCTGAACTAGTTGTGGGGATATAACATTGAGTAAAGTCACTGCCCTAGTGGAATTGCCAGGTCAGTGAAGAAGACAGACATTAATCAAAATATTACATAAACATATCATTACTAACTATGATGAAGGGTTAGGTAAAAGTATAGGGCACTAGGGGCATTTAGAACAGGAAGACCTGATAGGGTCTGAGGGTTCTTAGATACCTACGGACTTCAGGGTTCTTTTAATTCAGCGCCCTATCTTCCTTCCCGTTCCCCTTCCTCCCTCCCTCCTTACTTCCTGTAGTTAATATTTACTTCAAAAAAAATTACTTTTTTTCTATGTAGAGAGGATGATACTAGGTTCTTTATGGTCTCATCTGCTTCATAGAGCAAACTTACAATTTAGTGCTTTAGGACAAAACTGTCTGTTAAGAAAAGCCAAACCACACTTTACAGTGAGAACTATATATAATTCATGATGACCTGAATTAGCACTCAACCGGCTGCAGATGACAAAAATCCAAATCACACTTTCAAAAGGAAAAAAAAAGGGAAAGCCTAGACCCATGTAAAAGAGACATCCAGAGTTAGACTAGCTTAAGGTATGGTTAGATCCCGGTGCTCAAAAGATGTCATTTAGTCTCCATCTCTTTCGATCTTGCAGCTCAGTTTTCATCTGTGTTGGCTTCAGAACTCCCCCTGGTCACCAGCAGCCTCAGGATTATGTACATTCTACAGGACTGGCAATCCAGTTGGAAAAGAAATGAGAATTCACTACTTAACAGTTCCAGTGAAAGTCCAGAGCCCTGACTGGCCTGAATTTCAGACCATGCCCATGCTAACTGCCATTCTCTGACTGGCACAGTCATGTGTCCTCCATCTAGAACCAAAGGATGGACTTTACTACACCAGAACCTGATCTGAGAGTAGGAAGGAGGTGGTCCCTCAGAGTAAATCAAGGTGCTCTTATCTAAGACGGGAGAATGATGCTGGGCGGTGAAAGCCCACTCATCTCTACTGTCTTCAAAGTTTGGAATTACAGTGGATGTTAAGACTAAACAATAGGTTCTTCCATCAACTGAGTCTTCCTCCTTAAGGAATGAGCAAGAGTGCTTATTTAGGGCTTCCCTGGTGACGCAGTGGTTGAGAGTCCGCCTGCCAATGCAGGGGACACGGGTTCATGCCCCGGTCCGGGAAGATCCCACATGCTGCAGAGCGGCTAGGCCCGTGAGCCATGGCTGCTGAGCCTGCGCGTCCGGAGCCTGTGCTCCGCAACGGGAGAGGCCACAACAGTGAGAGGCCCGCGTACCACAAAAAAAAAAAGAGTGCTTATTTAGTGTGGCACTGGGTAGATTTGCCCTGTTCCCAATCCAGCTACACGGAGACTTGGCGTCTTTAGGGCCCTCACTGGAGCCTTAATATTTGTTTAGGTACTTGCTCAGAGCAGTCTTCAAGTCCCAATACCTCGTGCAAAACTTTTCCTACCTCCCTTCACTCCCTACACAGGGCTGGCGTGTCTGGGGAGGCCACAGCTCTCCAGCTGTAACAAGCATCCTCAGGGTCTGTGTAAATTACAGGAAAGGAAGTGAAAGACAAGCCCTTTGTTGGCAAGTTTTGTTTCCCTTTTGGAGTCTAAACTGAAAATGGCTTTCCTTGGGCGGAAAGGGGAGTATCAGGACAGTTCCTGGAGCATCCAACAAACAGACCTCCATCAGAAAGAGCTTGGGGCGGGGGTGGGGGCGGATCACTGTTAAACAGTCTGTGAGTTACACAGCACTACAGCAATCATATGTTAGCTGCAACCACCTGCACCTTGGGCATGTTACAGAAGTGCCTGGATCCCCCTATCCAATAGCCTTTTGCAATTTCTGCAAATTCCCAGCAGCTAATACTCTTAGCAGTCCCTTCTGGCTCTGGCTCCAGCTCCTGCTGGACTTTTAATCTCACTCACATCTCACCTCCTGAAGCTGGTCTCTTCCCTCTGCTGAGTTGTCCCAGATATGGGACTTGTTTCCCTTTCTCCATGCTTTACCAAAAAGAAAAATATACACATATACCAACTCCATCAAAACACTATGTGTTCATCAGCCTTTCCTAAAGTTATGAAAAGACAGGTGGGTTTTATATTACCATGTTGCTTGGCTCCTTCACCCTCTCCAGACACTTCTCTCATTTGGGAGGGGTCTCCCCTTCCCTCAGGAAACTAAATTCCCCTCATATTATTCAGAGCAACTTAGCTCTCCATCCCCCTACCTCTGACACCCAACAACCCATAGCTAGAGTCAGCCCACTATGAACCACCTACTCCAGGTTCCACTCTGACCAGCACTATGGAACATAAAGAAGTTTAAGTTTTGAACTTTCACTCTCTCACCACTACCATTCTGTGGTGGAATGCTTTTTTCCCCTAAGAATATGAATTGTACTACCCTTTTTAGAACAGAACTGGCTGTAGTCAGTTTTGGTTTTAAATAAGTTTCTATTACATCACTCTATGTGAACTCTCCAGCTCAGAGAAAAGCCTACATTACAAGTCTAAACCAATTCCCATACACCCATATTGGGGTCTACTGACACTGAGAATGTGATTAAGGAACACAGTGCTTCTGACCCAAAGAAGGACAAAGGGGTTATATGTAAGTCCTTGTGCCACCCTGCAATAGAATTCCTACTGTTTCCAGGCTGGAGTTCTGGAGCTTCAACCGCCAGGGAACTAGGCAAAACTAAGGTGTCAGTTTCAAGGATTCCTTTCACCTCGGTTGGTGGGTGCCTAAAACCAGCTGAGAGGCTTCTCCAAAGGAGAAGTAAGGACAAATGCAAGGAGCAGGTTTCCTCCCAAGACCTAGGGCAGCTCTAATAACCCTTGCCTTCCTAGGCCACTCAGGTAATTTTCCCTTTCTAAGGAGAAGAAGCAAGAAAGGCCTCCCTAAGGAGGCCCCTGTCCCTTCCACTGCATCTGAGGCAGGAGGCTGAGAGGCTCTGCAAGGCTATATATACCAAAAAGGAGAAAATCCTAGGCAAGAAGAATTCTGAGCTTTGAATTCCTTTGTTCATCACACCAGAAACTGCAACTGTAGGCACCATGGCCCAGTAGCCTTCCTCAGGAATCCTTTTCGTTCCAGGAAGGGAGGGGTAGTGAGAGGTCCCTAAATTCTTCACAGAGGCTAAAATTTATAATACCAGATTCAACAAAGAGAGGAAGAGGTGAGGATGGGAAATAAATCTTCTATCTTACATGAAGAGAAGACAAAACTTGATGTTTCATTTGTTAATGTCATAATTATAATAATACAGCCTTAAATATTGTTTAACCTAAAGGAACCCTCTAATAAAATTTAAAACTGGATGAACACATTCCAAATCAAATAAATAGGAATATTAAAAAAAAATTAATAGGGGCCTTTCTCACCTTCTGAGATGGCCCACACTCTGTCTGTGGAGTGTGTTTCTCCCAAGGCCGCTCTTGCCTTCTGAGGTGGCCCACATTCTGTCTGTGAAGTGTGTTTCTCTCTAAATAAATCCACTTCTCACCTATCACTTTGTCTCTCACTGAATTCTTTCTGTGATGAGACATCAAGAACCTGAGCTTCATTAAGTCCTGAGACCAGCTAGACCAACTCCCGCTCATCATCAACACCACTGGGGACGTCTTCTGTGCCGTTTCTTTGTGACTTTTTGGGCACTAACACCTGGTTGGGAGACTACCTTGGAAGGGATAGCATCTAAAATCATATTTTTTACTCTGATGCTGTTACAACAGTGCTTCATCATCAAGGAGATTCATAGAAAAGCTATGGAAACAATTACAACTATTCCACACCAAGATGATGGCTATGCGAGGATTCCAGCCCATACTGACTTAAACAAGGAGCTGTCCTGCCCCTGGGGCCCCTAGATCAGGCATCCAGAGATTTTTACTCCCTGACAGGCAGGGTTGATGCCCCTACTCAGCCTTGAAGCAGTTACATAAGACAGACCATCGCCCTTCTGATTCCCATAAGAATATGGGAATAAAATCTCTGAGGGGGAGAATGAAACATTAGGGAAGGAGGCAGGGCACAACCTTTGAGACAATGACATAGCCCAAGGATATGACTTAAACTGATTAAAACCACATGGGTCCAAGATGGCAGACAAGTCAACTTCCACTAGACCTTGAGCCTCAGTATATGCTCACGTCAGCAAGCTAAACAACACACCCACAGGCGCCATGGCAGTTCCAAGACCAACCATAAGCATCAAAAAGTGGGCGGTGGCCCAGTTCCTGGAAACCCCCGCCCCTTACTAAAATAGCTGGAATACTCCTCCCACTCATTAGCCTATGAAATTACCTACTGTATACCTGCTTTATACTGACAACCCCATACCCTGGTGCCTTTCTCACCTTCTGAGATGGCCCACACTCTGCCTGTGGAGTGTGTTTCTCCCAAGGCCAGTCTTGCCTCCTGAGATGACCCACACTCTGTCTGTGGAGTGTGTTTCTCTCTAAATAAATCCACTTCTTACCTAAAAAAAAAAGAAAGAAAAATTAATAGGAACATTCTATTCATATTGCTCTGTACTTGCTTCTTTTTTTTTTGGGAGGGGGTGGATGTGAATTTATTTACATTAAGGCCTTATGAAGGCATAAAAAGGTTACATTTTGTGGCATATTTAACAAAATGTACTGACTGAAAATAAAGCTGGAATTGTCCCCAGAAAACTCAGGACCCTTAGTCTCACTAGGCTCTTTATAGCAGTCCTGTAGGGTATACTTGCTCTTTTCACTGATACAGAACCTACTTCAATGTTTTCATGGCCACATAGCATTTCACAGTCCCTACTCGTGGATATTTACCAATGCAATAAACATTCTTGTCCAGAGAACTCTGTGCTCAAGGATACGCACTTCTTTAGACAAAATTCTAGTTTGGGGGCTTCCCTGGTGGCACGGTGGTTGGGAGTCCACCTGCCGATGCAGGGGACACGGGTTCGTGCCCCGGTCCAGGAGGATCCCACATGCCGCGGAGTGGCTGGGCCTATGAGCCGTGGCCGCTGGGCCTGCGCGTCTGGAGCCTGTGCTCCGCAGCGGGAGAGGCCACAACAGTGAGAGGACCGCGTACCGCAAAGAAAAAAAAAAAAAAAATTCTGGTTTGCCCTGCTGTGACTTGCCCTTTTGTATTTTTTGCCCATTTTCTATAGGACTTGTTGTCTTTTCCTTACTGATTTTTAGAAACCTTTTATAGATTATAGATACTAATCCATTGTTTTTTTTTTTTTAGGCTACATTAGGTCTTTGTTGCTGCGCGCGGGCTTTCTCTAGTTATGGCGAGTGGGGGCTACTCTTCGTTGTGGTGCGCGGGCTTCTCATTGCAGTGGCTTCTCTTGTTGCGAAGCACGGGCTCTAGGTGCATGGGCTTCAGTAGTTGCAGCACACAGGCTCAGTAGTCGTGGCGTGCATATTTCAGTAGTTGTGGCTCGTGGGCCCTAGAGTGCACGGGCTTCAGTAGTTGTGGCGCACAGGCTTAGTTGCTCCACAGCATGTGGGATCCTCCCGGACCAGGGCTCGAATCCACATCCCCTGCATTGGCAGGCAGATTCTTAACCACTGTACCACCAGGGAAGTCCCTTAATCCATTGTTTATCACATACATTGCAAAAATTTTCTCCCAGCCTGTTGGTTCTCTTCTAACTTTGTTTATGATGACTTTGCCATACAGAAGTTTCTCATTTTTATGTGACAAAACCAATTACAAACAATTTGGAAAGTACTGCCGTGGGAGCAATGCATTCCAAGCTCTGAGCCACACAGCCTCTTCTGCTAGGGGCCACGTAGCTGTGCTTAGTAGGTTCCCGTGGTGAAATGGCTGGTTAGGCAATCATTTTCTGAGCTGTTCACGTCTGGTTTTACAGCCAAGGTGGTGGTGTAAATTAATCAAGTTAAGAAGGAGCAGAAGAATTGTGAAGATTTTACTTGCTTGCTCGTTTTCATCTATTTGGAGGCTTCTTTCTTAAATGTTTGGAGTCATGTACTAACAATGTCAAAGAAATCCTGAGCCACTGAAAATCCAAAAACATCTTTATAAACAATAATCTGAGTATTTCCAGACCCTTTCAAATGTGGGCTTTAGGGCACTATTTGCTGTCACTGTGGAGGGAAAAATACATTCCAGACCCCACAGGAACAGAAAGGCTCAAGAGTCAAATGACTCCTAAAGTTTCAAGCAAGAAA